TAATCGTTAACTACACATTGCCCATAATGAAGCGATGCCGAGCATGAACCCTCGGTGTTAGCCCATCGCGTTCACACGTGATGCCTGTTAGATAGTGGGAATCTTATTCTAATGTCACAGAGAGATTTATAAAAACTACAGGTTTCTGTAAAGTAGTAGCAACTAAAAATTTCTCAATCTTTAAATTATTTCCTTACTTTCAATCAAGGCCATTTCTTAGTCTCTTTAATTTCAATAATTGACCATTCTGTTGTTGCAATTGTATTAATTGAACTTTTATATTTTAATTTGCTAAAAAAAATTTTATTAATTCTTGAGAAATCTTTTTTTTTAATCTCTCTACTTCTGAGTTTAATATCTAACTCCTTTATTTTATCTAATAACTCCTGTGACTGTCTTTTACAAAATTTTGTTGACTTGGGGCAGACTGCAACAAAACCAAACATAGTGAACATTGATTATGTGAACTAAAAGAGGCTGATGTGGCTGGAAAATGAACCAATTAGCTGGTTAATAGTTAGTATGTTTCAGAGAAACCTGGATGCTAATTTTATGTGTAGTATCTATAATCAGGGTCTTCTGGCTCCACCCATGAGCTTTTTGGCAAGGATAACATAGACCGAATTTTGCAAAAAGATAACGTCTCCGGACCAAAACCCCCATTGAAAACGTATGGCGTCTAATGAAAATTAATATACAAAAAAAAGGAAAAAAAAAAGAAAATCAAGTCAGTTAAAGATTTGAAGGGGGAGCTTCAAAAGAATGGAGCCCGTTTCTCTCCCAAGTTGGCAGAAAAATTATAAACCGTCGTGTAACTGCACTTATAGTTATGCACTTTAAATAAAAAAAAAGGAGGAATTTTGGCACACTGCAGTTAAAATCACGAGCCCAATGTAAGTAAAAAATACTTAGTAAGTAACTTTTTTTTATTAATATAAACACCCGCGTACAGCATACACTGTGTACATGTTAAAAGATAAACCGGTTAACCAGCATAAAAAACCTATTAAAACAGCCAATATTGTGTAATATTCCCTAAATATAAATGTCATATATTTCTGTGAGTGCATTTTGAACAAAAAAGAAGTCAATTGGAATAGGATCAGGTAGAATATTTCGGGGGATTTGAATAGGAGACTTCACATTATGATAAAGACAATCGAGTGGGATGTTTATAATGCATTGACCTTGCAAGATATTCAATGGTGCTCCGGTGCCATCTTGGGTCCCAAATTCAAACTAATAATCATTATACATTACATTGAGATTTTTAAAATGTTAACAGAAAAGCGAATCACTATAGTCCAACATTACCGCAGTTACAAGAGGAACTGTATTTCTCGTTCCTCTACCTGCTGAGACACAGTAATGCCAAGCCTACAATAAATCAAAATTTAGAATGTTATACAAATAATATGATTGCTATACTATAAATATAACTTACCCTCATACGGACCGGTACTTGGCCTTGGGGAACCGGATCGATTTTTACAATAATACAATCATGGACGCGACCAGGACTTAACCAGTAGTGCAACGTTTCTTCGACGTAATCTAATGTTTCGGTATAAGCCACCTCTATAACTAAATTTGGCCAAGGAAAATCCTAAATAAAAAAAGTATATTTGAATTACTAACTTTAATGAATTCAAATCCAATAAAAAGTACAGAAAGTACATTTCTATCGCTCCCATTTGGTGGAGTTACAGCTGGTTTTTTGGGGCGAAACGATTCATCGGGTTCTTTTCCACGGTTTCCGCCACGTGTTCCTTTGGGAAATAAAAATCAATATGATGCACGCACAAGCAGTTAGCACCTAAACTATAAATATCAGCATTGGTAAAAGCATTGGCACATTAACATCCTAGTAACTGCACCAATAACAACTTCGTGTGGTGTAGAAGGAAGTTCATATATTATGACTTTTCCCTCCGACCATTCCCAATATCCATGAATGTTAAATTTTTCTACACGTTCTTCATAATCTTCTATGATGATGCCCGTAGCAAGTACATATGGTAGGCTTAATATAAACAGTTTATACCAGCAAATGGCTCAAAAAACACCAACATCAAACAGTAAAACTTACGTTACTTCATCCCATCTCGCTTTTTCATTAAATTCTCCCTTTTCCCACCACAAGTTTCGATAATAGTTGCAGTCTGACATTCTTTTTGGAATCGCATCAGTACTATCCCTAAGAATATTTCCGAAAATAAGGAGTAACAATTATACAAATTTACTTACTCAATGGCTACAGAGCTTGCACTTGCACTTGAACTTGTTTTACTTGTTTTGTTGAACTAAAGCTACTAAAGCTGCTGAAACTGGTATTCGCAGTATACCGGTATATAAAGTGACATTTTGATGTTTTTGGAAAGATGGTTTACGTTTTTGGAAGGATCAGTAAATTTTGCAATTATTATTCCCCCATGACCAAACCAATATCATCATGATCCATTGCTCTGTTGCAGTAACATAAATGACGGAGTAATACAAATTTTTATTAGAAAAAAAAAATCGGTTCTTTAAAAATTTTGGAGTAATAGACGCAAACATGCGAAGTCATTTTTTTAGATGCAGTTGTATCTTCATATTTTATCAATACACCATGCATTGGTCTTACGATGGGTCCCTTAAAGCTGTAAAGCTGTTCATTCTCAGCAAAAGAGCTCCTCCCAGCATGGAGAAAGTGCTATCTGACTGCCTTAAAGAAAATATTCCTTGACAATCATCAGAAACAAGATGAACTTAAACTCATTTGCTGTCTTGCAACAAATCTTGTTGCCCAGGTCAGTCACTTGTTTCAGATTATTTGTGCAATGCAGGGAGGGGGTGTTGTTCCTCTAAAAAGAGTTCCCTTTGGGGTGTTGTTCCTTTTTTTTAATGGGGTATCCGTTTGCTATACTAAATTTAGTATAGTCTTCAATCGATGATTACGTGTAGAATCATCAAATTGTCACATGAAAAATTCACAGAATGTGTAAACGATATTAAACGAGTTGCGAAAAAGATTGAAGTTGCCGATGCGGAATTAATAGCCAATGCCCCAGATATTAGTCCTGACGGTGCTGAAATTATTAAACAAATGCCTACACATTCATTTACTGATAATATGGCTTTACAACGCCATTATTTATGGAAAATATATGCTTATGATACTCGAAATTGGTTAAACTATGCAATAAAAGCTCTGGAAAATTTAAAAATCAAAGAAGCCGTACAATGGGAGGAATCCCGATTTTCTGGCGAAAATTCTTTCAGATGAAGATTTTGCAAAAGCAGTCAATCGAAAAATTTATCAAAATTCGTCAAGATGCGTTATTGCTTTTCGGATTTAAGTCTCGGGCTGAGGAGTCACCTGAGCTTAAAGCCGCTATAAAGTTTATTAATGCAATAGTAGGTAATTGGATTATAGTCAAGTCGTACAGTATATTACTATATATCGTATTTAACACAATGCTGACCAGAATTAATGTTAGTCTTTACAATGAAGATTACTTCTTATATAGGAATTATACTGTGCAATGTTAAAAGTGTGGGATAAATGTGTGGGATTTCTTGACCATAATGGAAATAGGTGCGGCTACGAAAACTTTCAGGTTCAAAAATGGAAACGTAATTATTGGATTGATCGCCGACCGTATAATGGAGCTGGTTTTAATACACGAAGCGCACTTTCTCCAAAAAATAAAAAATTAGTACCTACACTTCCGTCATATAAACCAGAAGAAGCAAAGCTTGCATCATCAATCGCTGATGGTAACCAAAAATTTATCATTAATCCAGTAAAGTGGTAATCGAGTTAAGTAATGAATCTCTGGTATACTGTTATATTTAACTAACGTTCGCTTAGGTAAATAGGAATTTTTGTTACGTTTTATAAATGTATGAAAAAATTCAATTAGTATATAATGAAACAGTATCAGTTTAATATGGGTTTCCATAATAACATTATTATTGGCTAGTGAATATACGGTTATCAAAGTATACTTTCAACTATATTCCATGATGTAGGGTTTGGGATAAAACTAAAACATGTTTTACATAATCGATCATATATGAATAAACATATTAATTCAGGGCAGCATTATTACCTAAGCTAACGTCCCGAAGTTACAAGTAAAGTGTACTTGCACCAATAAAATATTTTGAAGTATCTTTTACTTAATATCTCAAATGATATGCAACTGACCTTAACCGGGTAAAAAGTGACTTTTTTCGGGTCTAAGCTAAATTAACTGCAATAAGTGTGTTACTGGTTTGTAAAACGTGAACGTATAGACAAGTCTAATTTTTTAACGAAAATCATCGGTTGTGCGGCTAATTCGCTTAGTCATGACCAAGAAAAACAAGAAAAACCACGCTATTCCGCCCAGACCTCGTCAAACCCAAAGCGGAAGCCAAGAATCAACTGCTTGTGCTTCAGCGTCGAGAGAGATATCCGCCATAATTATGATCTCATAATACATAATAATAACTTGTTTATGTATTGTATTGTCCGTAGAGGTTACACAAACTTACGCGAATATTTATTTCATGTGAATTCGCGTTTCAATTTGCAATTATTCAAATTATTTATCAGCATGAGTGGAGCCAGACCCATCTCTTCCCTTGATTTGAGTCCTGGAATTCGAACAAAACTGACTAAAGCCGGGTTCCAAACTGTTAGGGATCTTGAAGAAACAACGCCAGTCGATTTGAGCAAAGGTTTATATAATAAGAACTATCCAGGATACGCTTTGTTTGTGAAATCCATCTAACTGACAGCCACAATTAAGAGCTAGGAATATCAACTGATGATGCCCTTAAAATTTTACAACAAACAAAAAGAAGTATGCATACTATCACATTCTAAAGACCTGATTTCAAAACTGGAGCTAAGTGAATGTCTTGTTTTTGCTTAGATACTGTAGACGCCATGTCTGCCTCCGAGGTACTCGTGCGCGAACGTCTCGCCGCTTCCATATCCACGTCCAGCAATGCTATCGATAACATGCTAGGTGGTGGTGTACCAATCAGAAAGATCACAGAGTTCTGTGGTGCCCCGGGAATAGGGAAAACTCAATTTGGGTATAATTTGTCAGAGTCATTTATTTGCTCGCTTTTTCTGTTTTAACTTGATACTAATACATGTTATTTTTTCGTGACAGAATTCAATTATCTGTAAATGTTCAAATACCAGAAACTTTATCAGGGCCCGAGGGTGAGGCGGTGTATATTGGTACGTATATAGATGCCAAAGAGCAATAATATGATTCCATAACTAATGCTGCATCAATATCATTGTTCAGATACTGAAGGCAGCTTTATAGCTCAACGGGCAGCAGAGATAGCTAGTGCAATGGTTGAGAGAGTTAACGGTCATCAACACGGTATCTGAATGGAATATCATTCATTATTTGTTTATAGTTATTTATGTTAGCGTTATTGTTCATGTATCCTTAGCCGTTTAGCAGGAACGGAAGCATTAGTTAATGTGGATACTATTCTATCGAAGATTCACTACTTCAGACTACATAATTGCGTTGAATTAATTGCACTTGTTAAGGTGCTAGACGAATTTTTGAAAGAGCATTCAAAAGTGAGTGACATATGCCTACATATCTTTTATGAATCCATTATTTGATATAAAGACTACTTCTCATGTACAGGTCAAAATCATTATAATCGACTCGATCGCATTTCATTTTCGTCACGGTTTTAGTGACATGGCTCTTCGAACAAGGATATTAAATAGCTTGGCGCAGGATCTAACGAAAATTGCCCATTCCTTTAACCTCGCGGTATGTGATCAATGGCAGTATTTTCCGCAATAGTCTCGGCTGACCGCAATTCTAACATATGAGAATGGACAGGTTGTTATATTTAATCAGATGACTACGAAATTCTTCGTTTCCAGCGATCGATCCGCAACAGATCAAGCAATATTGATCCCGGCGCTCGGGGAGAGCTGGGCGCATCAATGCAACAATAGGATTATACTTTATTGGCAAGATGGTATACGATGTGCCAATTTGATCAAATCGGCAAACCGTCGGGAACAGATTGTAACCTATCAAATTGGTGCTACTGGGATACGAGACGTTATTGACGATGCATCAAGTAGTCGAAAACGGCCTCGCGAAGACTTGAATGATTAGAAATCCACGCATTACGAGTGCCCATTTAATTACTGTCAAATAAATATATCAACTTTGCAACCAAGAGTGAGATCTGTAACTTGTGGATGAATCATGGACTATTAATAGCAGGTAATATTTTACCGCTACAGTCTCCAAATCCTACTATATAACCCTCCCCCTGACAATAACCAGTGAGGACTACTTCGTCTCCATCTTCGATAAACTTACGCTTTATACCATTATCGTAATCTATTTCATTCTGTCCGTTCCACGTAAGTTCGAGTAAAGAGCCTCTAGAACCTTCAGACTATAATTCGGAAATGGTTAAATTCAGTATTCGTCTTCTACGTACGTGCTATCAAAAGCTTGATTGCTACTTACCGGACCACTAATAGTTCCTGTGCCACACAAATCACCTGGGCGCATATTACAACCACCCACGGTGTGATGAGCTATTTGCTGTTTGAACGACCAGTACATGTATTTTAAATTGGAGCGAGTTACCGTCTTGTACGCATTGCTGTCATAAGCTGTTATACAGAATTAAAAGATTTTAGGGAATATGATACACTATAATGAAATACATATATGATTAAGATTTTGCAAAGAAAATTACGTTTGATCTTTGCTTCCAGCTGAACATTGTACGCAGATGGGCCATTATCCCGGAGATAAGGAAGCGGTTCTGGTTTCTGGAAGATGTACATGTTAGTACATTGATAATGGAGTAGAATCTTAGATAGTATAATAACCTGTTCGGGTCCTTTTACTAAAAACGGCTCCAATGCATCAAGAGTTACAACCCATGGCGAGATACTCGTCCCAAAGTTTTTCCCCAAGAACGGACCTGTAGCAAATGCAAAGTTGCATTAACCAAAAAGTTGTGATAAAATATATACAAAGTCTATTTCTATCAAAACTAGTATACTTTACCTAAAGGTACGTATTCCCAAGCTTACGTAGACAAACAATTCAGCAGATATCCGAATATGCTAAAATATCTTGGAATAACTTACATTGAATATCGCGTGCTATTGACAACATAGAGTTATAATTAAACGTTCCTTCCTGCTCAATATAACACGTCAATTCAAACATTTACCACTCCAATCGTTCATTAAGACAACTCCAAATATGTGATTATTCGCTTTGTTAATAGGGATTGCGTTGCCAAGTTCATTGCCAACTCCGATAATGAAAGCCTTCGAGGAGCATGAGCAAATTTAGAATTGAGAATGGGCATTGTGAAATATTTTGCATAGTGATCATACCATCTCCAATTCAAAGTCCAGTCGTATCGAAGCACCAAATACTGGTGGATTATTTTTGGCTAACAATCGTTGTCCACACGGGCGTCTTAAAGCAGTACCAGAGACAACTACAGACGACGAACGACCATGATATCCAACTGGTAGATGCGTCCTGGATTCAACGAAAATTTAATTAATTCACACCAAATAAGATCAATATTTTGGGCTAACAGATACTATCACATGTGTCTTTTAATACCAGTTGGGCATTAGTGCATTATCGCTTCCTCTAAACATGGTTCCAACGTTCGTCGCGTGCTCTTTTGAAGCATAGAAATCCGTATAATCTCCGATTTGTGCTGGTAAATGCATATTTGCTAAATTTTGAGCAACAAATGCCTTCGCTCTCAATTCAGCATCATCCCGCAATTCTGAATTGTCAGCAGACAGAATGTTCTGAAGGCATTTACGCACAGCTTTCCATATTGGTCTACCTAATGACATAAAAGAATTGAGAGACGACTGAAAAGAGTTGAATGTAATTTAGTTCGCTTCGAATGATAGTAAATGAATGCAAACTGACATTATTAACCTCTTTAAAAATCATTGGTTTTTGCCCCAATTCTGGGACATGTTTCTCGATTAGCGCATGGATAACTGATAAATCTAAAATCTCGTCTCCGATTGCTACTCCAACGCGTGGATTTGGCTAAATAGTGTTCAACATCGCTCGTTAACATATACATTTTATAGTATTCACTGAACAGATTATCCATAAAAAGATTGAACAATCTTGTTCGTTTATTTCTTACATTCTCAACAGTAGAAAAGATGCCATACGGCAAATTCTGAATGGGGAAATGAGAATCGGGAGCAACTTTAATAAAGGATTTCATCGTTTGCGAGAAAGAGTTCGCAAAGTTGATTTAGAGTGAAAGGCGTGAGAAATTTCATATTAAATATTTTCCACATTCTCGTAGCACGAGCTTCCCAAAGTTCTATAGGAAGATTCCAAATGCAGCTAGTCCATGAATTTCATGTCGCTTACACCAAATGTCACATGAGATAAACACAATGTAATACCGTTTTCGTGCATTCATGTAAATTTGCTCTAAATTACTAGTCATTCACAAAAGTCAAAAATCTGATAAACTACTTAGTATGTGTATAATTAATCTCGCATTTAAAGACAGCATTTGTATTAAACAATTTTATGTGCTCCTTACACTACAAAGGATATATATGACCATCTTCTATTCCTTCAAATCACGATGTGAACATCCGTGTACCCAACAACTGTTTCTCTCATGAACTCTAACAATGATCAATGCCTAGATTGCATACTACATATGTAGAGTTGTAGTTAGCTTTGATCTCAAACGCTTTGTGGTCGAGATTCTTCAGAAACTCGTAATAAGTAATAATAATTAATCTTTATTTTAACCAACTGTATTCTAACACGTCTAAAAAAATGTGGTAGAAATGAAATAAGAACCAAGTGTCCTTAACGCAATTACGTTCGGCCAATTTGATTCCCGAATTAAATAAAACAAGGTAAATCCGCTTCCACAAGGAACACAACGGCGCTGCCAATTAATCATCATTTTAAGATGGTCCGTTGACAGATAACCTATTTGAATAGAAAGAATTAGGTACATATTCCTGAATAAACGAATCAAAAACTGTTCGTATATAACTTACTTCTTCAAGTGTTCCATAAATACTTGCAAGCTTACATCGTCCGTAAAGATAGCTTGTCCTTGCACATTATAACCACCGGATATATGTGTCGTAGATGGATTCAATTTGGAAAGAAGGAATCTTGCCTGCGACCCGTGTTGGTCGCACACAATGTATCTTGGAATGGGGAACCTGTCTGCCAAAAGTTCCTGTTTATGTGGGGGAAAACAGTTAACAATCGTTTCTTTGTAACACAATCATCTGTACTTTCACATACTTCTGAATCCGCTTTAGGAGCAGCCAACAGTTCTGCAAAGTTCTCGTATCCAGGTTGATTTTGATATCCAGTCTTGCGCCATTGTGCAACCGTCTCACCGTGAAAGATAAGAATATGGAAGAATGTATCGAGTAAGAGGATGACATCTGGTTTAATTGATACTGAATCAAGAAGCACCGGAGTCGGTTGAGCATCCATGGAATATGACATTAGTGTCGGCTGGATCATAATTAGAGAATTGTTTACATCTTCGCGGTTCAATACATGACTATACGGAGAGATAATGGTTGCTTGTCAGTAACTCAAGCTCCATTCCAGCAAAATCAGAAATGTCTAATGTTATGTTTTCCCATACCGGTAGAAAGCAGTCTCATCAGGACTGTTATTAAACACTTGCAAGAACTGACTCCTTCGCAAATGGAACATAAACTGTGGATATATCGAGAAATTATCCGATAATCTAAATGATGTAGGATCGTCCTTCCTATAATCCGCAAACTTCTGACATAGCCTGATCAACATTTTGTCTAGCCACCTTAATACATCAGGCCCATCTTCAAGTTCGGCCTTAAACACAGCTATCCTTGCCATCAGCACAGCTGCAGCTTCCTGGTCGAATGACTGAGCAATCAGGGGAGAGCTTCCCTCAGCAAAATTACGAGCTACGGTAGTGACACGTAATCGGAACTGACCAGATGAATGTTGGTAGTGAGTCACAAATTGGATTAATCCGCGAGAATTAGGCGGGAGAGGTTGACCATGCTGCGCAACTACTTCGAAATAGATTGCGGATGTAGTTTTCGGAGTTATCCCGCATGTCTTCCAGGCAGACGTGTTGGCAATGCCTATTTCTGTCTCAGCTACTGAAGGGCTTTTCTTGTTTGCTGATATGGCATGACCGATCAGACCACATACACGGAGTTCTCTGGTCGTCTGTTGGATAAAGTGACAACAATTCAAATATTTAGATCATCTGCTAACGTCACGGGGATTGAAATCATTAAAAACGCTACTGGCATCACCAAAGACTCGTACCTGAACGTCCAGTGTCGCATTGTAAGCCATTTGCAGATTTCCCTGTGCATCTTTATTAAAAACTCTTTGAAAACTCTGCTTGAAGATGGCTGTCGTGAATGAATCAGAAAGAATCATAAATCCGCCAGTAGAGTTGACCATAGACTTCATCTCGAGCAATCCCACTTGATCAAGACACCCAGCAAAAATGTCGATTATATGGCCGTTAGTTGCAGCTCGTTTAGCGAGAGCATCGTAGAACTGACAAGGAAAGAAACTATCAATAAGTCTGATTCCAGTTGTTTGGTATAATATTTGATGTTTATGAATACCTTTACAGATCTTTTGTAATATTTAATATTGTCTCTCTCAATATCATGGTGAGACCTAATTGGCTCTTTTAATTCAATCCCGACAACCATACCAGGCCCCTCAGTCGCAGGGCCCCCGCAGAAGAGCATTACGCGACATCCTGTGTTTGGATAAGTGCTCTGTTTACAAAATCGTCCCACTTATCAGCTTTAGTAAATAGATAAATATATTCGCTAAATAAAATGTAATATCTGACCTCCATCAAACCAATGCCCACACTCATGGCAACGCCGGTACATCTTCGTGGACGCTTATCGTTGTCAACTGACCATGGATCTCGTTGCAGTTGTTCGAGAATCGAAGTCAAGGTAAATTCACATTGTTGTATTGGGAGAAGAAACCTATTGTTACAAATAACAAAAATCATTAAAATGGCTGCCAGTTATCGATATAGAATAAATATGATTATTGACACTGGATCTTTACAATCTGATTGACATTCTTGGCTCATATCAAAACGCGAAACCAGAAATATAGATCCCTATTCAACCACTCTCGTCTACTCATGCTCTCACCTGTTAGCACCAATATTCTGAGTTGAAGCTTGCTGACCAGGTCTTGCTATTTGAGAGCGAATAGCGGGGGCAGCAAGGCCAAGCATATCCTGAATTTGCTTCGATGTGTATTCTTTTGTACCACGGAATACATAACTTTTGGGACATTCGCTGTAACCTAATTCATGAACTTGAGTCTACAATCTTGTTAGCTGTCTCGCTCCAAACATTTTGACAAAAAAAAGCAATTCTCCTTTTGAGGGATACCTTACCATAGTACCAAACGTAATCAATCCAACTAGCGCGTGTGGAGGTAATAAACTCAAACTAACAACAAGCGAATCCTTCATGGCCTTCAAGTCTTCATCTTCGAGACAAGTATCCACGACGAATAAAAAAATTGGGGGCACCTGGGCTCCTCTCGGAAGGGTGTATTCTATAGTAGTGTACTTTGGGAGCAACTCGGCGGGAAGATTCGTATTTGATATATCCTTATAGTGAGGTGGAAAGGCATTGCGCTGTAAGCAAAAGGGACAGATCCAGAGTTTCCCGCGGACGTCGATTTGGCTGAATTGAAACGAGAGTATGCAGTTATTAGGTTGCAATCTTATTGTTCGGTGGGTCTACAATATGATAAGCGCTCACCAGTAAGGATTTAATATAGCCTTACAAGGCGCTTTGCAAGTAACAGGTTCATAATAAATCGGAGGCAAGTCTTCCCGTTCCTTCAATGGAGTGTACAGACAAGAAACTGGAACAACGGTTCTCGTTGCGTCTAAGCGAGAAGCAGGGAATACATTCCACGAAAATCTAATTCCATCCTGCTCTTCGATACTTTCAAAGTCCATTGTTAAGTCTCTTGAATGAGGCAGAGTATTTTATTTTTTCCAATACCCGATAATCGCGAAATTCTCAACAAAATTCTCTTTGTCAACGAATAGTTTGTGAAACGTTGTGTCATGTCATTTATTGATTGGCTGGTTGATGAAATTTAACAATATGTTCTAATACTATTCGATGCTACTCAAATAATCCTGCGAAAAATTCATCATATTCTTCTGATGTCGTCTTTTCTATCTCTGGTATTATAGGTTGGCTCCATATATTAGAGGACTCTTCTTTTGAATCCGGTAGTTCATGTGCTGTAAGGATGCATATTATGTTGATAACGGAATACTGGAAAAAGCTACACCAATCACATATGCAAAACTTACTGTATTTTCGCTTCTTGTCCATACCACTTTCTTCTTTATTAGTTACACTCGATTCGTCTTCTGATTCTCTTTTTATCTCTGCTTTAGAATTATTATCGTCCTCATATTCCTCTCTTCCTCGTTTCTCCTTCGGTTTAACATCCTTCGGCTTGCTTTGTATTTCATTGTGCTTCTTTTCATAATTGAGCTTGTCAGAGCAGGAAGGACAAAGGCGAATCTTTACGAGAGCATTTTTCTTTTGATTATCTTCAACGTATGCGAAATTAATTTCCCATGAACGCAGATGTTCTCTTTCCGAACATCTCGTTGACGCACAAATAAATTGTCCTTTCGAATGCAATTACTGATTATTAGTCTCAAGCAAAGATAATCGAATGCTTACTGTCTATCTAAAACTCTGAGAGACGTACCTTTTCCCGATATAACTTCTTTTTCAATCCTCCATCGCAAAGCAATCTACATAAAACAGGTATATGTTTGCATATAAACGAATTTAATCACGATTTGGCCTTGACAACTTACCTTGCCCTGCTTATAGTACTTTAATTCTACTATACAATACTCCTTAAATAATTTGTCGTAGTATTTCTTTGCAACTCGTTGTTCCCAGGACATATTCTCGTCATCGTCAGCTGTTCGAAGGAATCTGTAGAATCAACTGTATTAATGTGACATAAAACCACCGTTCATTCGACATGGTTCGGTTGCTTACTTGTGATTCTCCTTTAGAATATCAAGCTCTGTCTTCGAAACTGTCTCCGCAGACGTACTTGCGCGGTTTCCGTAGAAGTGTACATAATCTCTCATAAACTTCTTATGCCTGGCATACTAATACATAGCGAGCCCTTAGATCAGGAACTGCAATGACGCATACATATAATAAATATATAAGCGTGACTTTGCGAGGTATTTAAACATTCTTTACTCACAGCGTCCAACCCTTTCAAATTGTCCCTAAAGACAGATCTAGCATATTCATTCTGTTCCTCTCGCTTTACTATAAACGGGTTTGACATAAGTTGATAACGTAAATGGTAATAAGAAATATAACGATAATCCAGCGTAACGTCTACTACTACATGTTGTTATTGTGATTATTCAATCACGTGTTCCCGTGTTATTCGGAACTTCGGCTCTGACTTCTGATTGGACGATCAAACTAAAGTCGATAAAGATCAAAAACGACATATTGACGACATTGCTTTAAACATTCATAATGTCCCTTTTGTCTCTTTCGTCTCTTTCGTATCGCCGTGTCTTATCCCTGCGATGCTACACACATTCATTTCCTCACATACCCGCATCCAATAGATCTTGTCTCCTCAGCAGACGAATAAACAGTCGACGTTCAATTTCGGTCTCGGTTCGAAAAGAACAAGGGCGGAGACGTACCGCACTAGTTGAGAGAGATTCAATAAATCGGTGGGAGAATCTGACGCCTAGAGAGAAGGGTCTGTATTATAGGTATTTGGAGCTTTACCTTGCGGGGCATTAACGCGGATTACACTGTGCTTTAGTCGTTGGAGCAACGAAGACAACGTTTAGTTTCGGTGTAATAGCTTTGAGTATTGGAATATGTGGTATGATTGTCTTTACATGCTATTAATTCACAATGAGTGTTGTTTTCCTTGACCAATATTTATTGACGTTTTTCTGCTTCATGCGATAAAAGGCACCGTTTTTTATCTTTTAATAAACGAGCTTTTTAGCCCTTCAGGATCTACAAAAGTTTTCGGCGAAGCTCTAGAGAAAATCAGAGCACATCCGCAGGTAGGATTGCTGGTTGCCACTACAATTCTCATCGTGTGCTGCCATCCTGACCGTTTATTCGACCGTACTTTTTCTCCAGTGTCAAGAAGACTTGGGAACTCCAATAAAAGGTCATGGTGCACCAGGTTATAATAGAAGACAACGTTCTAGGCGAGTGCGGTAAGTGACATTGATCAAATAGTTACTTTTCTGTACATCAACTGACTAATACTCTTTGCAGGCTACATAACGTAATGAAGACCGATGGGACTGAACATAGAGTGATGACATTCTATGTCGAAGGACCCGTTCGTTATGGGATGGCATACCTCGATCAAGTGAAGGTAGAATGAAAAGATCCGCCCACTTCCTTATGTAAAATAACTTACAGGTTTAATAGAAAATTTCTTGTCTTATAAAGGACGAGGAGGGAAACTGGAAAACCGAGTCTCTAGTAGTAGATTTACCCGGTTAGTTGACAATATTTGTACTACATCACGTGGACGCGTATGTATCAATTAACATCATCTTTATTTCCTAATATAGCAAACCGTTTACATTTGGCACGGCGAATATTTGTAGAATATAACCGTAACGAGAAAGCTCTTCCGAAAGAGGGAGTAAAATAAGATACTACTATCACATATTATAGACTACATCTAAATAAGCCAATTTTGTCCATTTTATGTAAATCGTATACCTCTTCTTCGTATGCCATAGCATACCAGTACTGTAGTAATAATGATAAATATGTTTGTTATGAGAATGAGCTTCTATAACATGTATACGTTTGAGTATTAAGTCTGGATTCAGTATTTCAAATGGGGCAGACTGCAACAAAACCAGACAAAGTAAACATTCTGTTACTTGACGTAAATGAGATGCTGGTGTGGCTCTAATTTGATGGTTTGATTATTCACAACTGCTGGCTCATACACAAATTATGTAAATATAAATTACATTCTTAAGTTTATATTATAATTATGCCAAATTTTAACTAACATTCAACCTTATTGAGAAGAACTTTTACTTTAATTACAATATGTTTAAATAAAATTATGCCTATATAAAAATAAATATGGGGCAGACTGCAACAAAACCAGACAGAGTGAACATTAGACTGTGGGAGCTGGTTTTTTTTTGGTCAACTATGCTATCAGTTTTTCGTGTGGCTTTGATGCAAGGAATGAAAGTTAATCTTAAAAGGCCATAATCACATATCCTTTTGTCCTTTCATGTTCATTCTGGGACTGAAGCATAACAAAGACCTTTACTTCCATATCAGGACAAAAGAAATGAAGAATTCTACGGAATTGATATTTTCATTTAAACACCAGGAAACTACTTTTTCTTCAAACTCAACTGTATCGTTACGGCTGATAAGCAAAGCCCGCAGTAAACTCCCATGATTCAAATGTATTTTTAGATAGTAGCATAAAGCGTTTCGCATTTTGAGCGCAGATAGCTAAATAAAACTCTGAATCCAATCCAAAGCTGACACGTCGATTATTAATCGAGTGGACTAAATCGACCATAAAGGTTGTGAAGTGAAACTCGTAGTTCAAATACTCTCTCTGAGCAGTAATTAATAAAGCAAAATCGACCATAAAGGCTATGAGCTGGAAGCAACGATTATTTTTATTTATTTCAGTTAAATTAGAAGATACAAGTGGCGGAACGACTAGTCAAAACACCAAATCGAGGTTTGCTTTGTTATAAATTTTAGAATAGTATTTCCACTTATAATTGATGGTTGTTGTCGATTATTTGTGGGCCTTACTTGGATACGTAGTACTAATAGAGTACAGTCAACTGCCTCTAATTCGACTTTCCAGCAATTCGACCGCCTGGAGAAAGACTCGATTTTTTCATGTGAAATTTCTTTCAAGGGTTTGATTTTAGTTTTCTCTACCTTACGATAATTTGTAATTCGACCGCTCAAATGATTTACAATCAATCTAGTATGTATAAATAGTATTATAATTACTCGAACGGGAGCAAATCATTTCTATTTATGGATTAGTTGATAAATTTTCTGATTATTCGATTTCATAATAAAAAATTCCGATTATTCGTGCATTATAAGAAAGTCACAATAGATCCTTTCTCCAGCTGGTAGTCTAGAGACCTTCTCAGAACGAAGGCTTCGGTTTTAAACGATGCACTGAACTCTCCTCGACTCTGGCGGTGTCTGTAAAAATGTACAAAGCACCAGTTTTTAGGGTCAACTTCGTAGAAATAGGAGTCACACTTTGCATTTGACATTTGCTATATAGAATGTAGTCGCGTCGTGCAGATCTAATGAGTATTGCGAGGCGGAAAACAAAAGGCAGTCACATGATTCAGTCAGCACGATTGGGTAACATTGTTAGCGTGACGGTGTGACAATCATAAGACATCAAAATATTAAAATCAAAATATAGCTGTTATCATTGTTGTGAAATAAAGTCTTACGATCGAACAAAGAAAAGACTAACATTACCTTGTAGTCATGTCGGCGAAATAAAGTCTTACGCATCGGATAAAGGAAATACGCTACAGTCGTACCCCTCTATAGTCACGCTGTCGGGAACAATGCAACTTTTGCTGGAAGTGTGCTTATAAAGAGGTTGTGACTATATAAAGGGTTTTTTCTATAAGTTTAATAGTAATTGGTTCTCAACATGGTGTGCTTATAAAGAGGTTTTTTATATGTGTGCTTATAGAGGGGTGACTATAGAGGGGTACGACTGTACTAATTGTCCTATTTTTAGCAACGTATTTCTAAGCTACAGTTATTGGTTTGCTTCATTTGCACTAAGTAATCGCCTTCGTACTTCCAGATCAAATTTGCATACACTCACAACATGATGTAAAATGTCAGGTTTCTACCGTCCTGCAGATTTCTTTTTGGATGGTGACGCTTCTTGCGGATTTTCATTAGTTGGAGTATCTTTCGCGATATTTCTTGCAACTTTAGATAATAATCCATTACTCGGCTCTATAATGTCAAATATGAAGTTAGATCAACAATCATGTTGTAAAAACGATTACAGAACTCATACCTTGAAAAAATATACTTTCTCTATTATTTCATCAACACATACGTTTGGTCCTTGTTATCCGGGATCGTAAAATTCGTAACGATATCTACAATGTGTAATCCTCCTTTAGCACGATGCATTGTAGATTGTCGTCTCACGTTCTAAAACGATAAACAAAATATGTTTTAATAATTATAAATATTACAATGCATAATGTAAGGTTACATACGGTAAATAAGAACACCAAAGCTCTGAAGACATAAGAGCTGACGTTGTCGAGCTAGCTTACGCTTGGGATGGTATATACTCCATATTCAGTACATACCCCATGTCGGAAATTATCATTGTCGAGGAAGGGAATAAATGGTACGAGTTCGTGCCTTGGTAAGTCGGGACAGGTGACATAGTGTTCCATATTAGCAGAGTCAAAGTTTCTCGATTTCCAATCGTCAACCTGTTGCTGGTATAAGACGCACTCGATCCGTCTATCACTTTTCTCTCGACGACGTAGTAATAATCATGGTAGTAGAGTTGGTGTTTGTAGGCAGCGGGGTTGGGAAGAGGAAAAAGATCTTTCCCAGATCTTCGAGGTGTCTGAAGTCAATGTAGGTTCCGTCGAATTAAATAAGTATCAGTCATCTTGCCAAGCGGTTGGCATTGATTCGTTGTATTCCTGCTGCGTAATGATGAAGGTGGCTGAATTAACCCATATTCCAAAAATACGGCATGCAACCTTTGCTAATTGCTCCCCACCATTTCTTTCACAAAAACACCAAAATTTAAGGATATCATCACCAAACTGTTCATACGCCTGATCATCGAAAGTTTTTTTTTTTTTTTTTTGATTGTAATTTTCCAATTCAAGCAGGACTTTTCGTGGCTTCCCTCTCGGATGGTACAATGCCAGGAAGAGATGTTGGTTATCAAATATGATAAATATAAGGCTTCATTCGGCTGATTATTAGGTTGACAGACAATTGCCGTTGGCAGAAGCAAATCAACGATCCTTGACTTGGAGGGTAACCAGTACTACTGCCCTCTACTGGAAGGCATCGAGATCTGTGACATTAAAAGGAAGTGGAAGAGACCACCTGCAGCCACAAGTGCATACATAAGCGCTTTTTTGCGAGTTCCGCAACCAATCGAGACTTTCCCGTTCCACTTGATTGAATAATGGCCGAGTATGGTGCATAATATTCTGACGTTTTAACGCGACCTCTTGGATCATCATAGTCGACCTTAAAAGCAGCCGTGTTAATTCGCATTCCCGTTGGTCAATATTATAATGAGTTTGCGCAGTTGTTGGGGCATTCCGGTTTTCGTCTGGAAACAATTAATAATAATTGATGTTAATGTTGCAAAAAGTATGCTAGATGCTTCTATCCTATTTACCCCAAACATATCATCTCTTGCTAATTTGTCTCATGTCTTCCTTGGTTCATAGTTGAAAGGAGTTTACATATAACCTAACTCTGCTATGTTTCAGCTCTGCCATTTATTATACTCCTCCCAATGCATGTAATGCATTCCAACGGTTGACCCCATAGCTACTCTACAAACCCCCACATTGCTCCTAACCGTCCTCCCAATAAACGTACACACCTTGTTGTTCTTCAGGAACGTCGTTTATGGTAAGTGGCATGTTGTCAAGTTATTCGAAAGAACGCGTGCGCGTTATTATTACTGGGCAATCACGTTGTGGAACAATTGCATGCATCAAATCAGATTGTGCCCCCTGTGATCACAAATTTAAAGTTACTTGCCAGACGTCGAAAAGCTGCTGAAGAACTTTAAAAACTTGGTTGACAAAAAAGCTGGGCTGGATCCAAAATTTTCATTTAATCAATGGCAACTGAAATCCGCGAATTACGCGAAAGAAAAGGCATTGCGGCGTCCACGTTGAAAAACTTTTACAATTGAGAAACGTATCCGAGGAAAAGAACACTAGAAGCCATCGAAGAATGGATGGATAAGAATAAAAAAATGTAGGACGGCGATGTCAATAATAATAATAATAATAATAACATGTAGTATAGGTTTCGCCAGAGTGACCAAAGAATAGGTTATACTCATCAATGGCTTTGGGTCCGAGTATTTATATTTCAAGAGCGCGCATTCAGCAATAGAAATAATAAAATTTATGCTTACGAATTATTTTTACATTGTTTGACTCTTTAATTACAATTGTGTCAAAAAAGCAAAATGCGAATCAAAGCTCAACGGATGCGCTTTTATCAAGACTATAAGGAACGAAGCTTTTACGTTAAACTACTTTCCTTTACCTTTCTTCAAGTTTTTGTTTCTTTCTTGGTTCATTATAAGTTGGGTTTAATCTTCGTTTATTGACTATTATTTTTGGTAAATTTCATAAGTGATTTTTTCTTTACCTAGGTATTCTTGGAGAGTTTGGGTACCATAAGAACAATTTTTTCTCCTTCAGCTTTCTTCTAATGGTGCTGTAATTCCTTGGTTCCATAGTGGATTTGATGTAAATTAGTTTCATATTATATTTTTATATAGGCATAGTACTATATTAAACATATTGTAATTCAAGTAAAAGTTTATCTCAATAAGAGTTAAAATTTGGCATAATTATAGTATAAACT